TGTCCACCGTGGGGAAAATCTTTGTCTCAGCTTCTCCAGCCCTGGTGTTCCCCCATTCCTTGATCCTTCTATATCTTTTGCAAACAATTTCTCCAGGCCCTTCTATTAGGAATCTAAACGTATTGGATTCTTTTTGTGTATGTGCTTGCTGTAAGGCCTTATTTTAAGAGATGTTCTGAAAGAATGAATGGAGAACAATGGATACCTTAAAGCAGTTCTTTGGAATATCTCCCGTATTTTAATTACAGTTTTTGAAAAATCAGCTTTTCCTTAGTACGCAATAGAATATAGCTCTTTAGAGCAGCCCGTATCTCTTTGAATGATTCTGACCCTTGTGTGGGATAATTGTTCTCTGCTCTTGGTGGAAACACAGTGTTTTGAACTGTACATTCATTCGTTCAGCAAACATTTATTGAGCACCTGCCCCTGGCCAGGTACTTTTCTAGGCACTGGGAACACGGCAGTGAACAGGGCAGACCCATCCTGCCTTCGTGAAGCTTACTCTTCAGTTGAGGCAGGCGTACAATACACAAATAGATCAGTGAAAATCCGGGGATTGTCAGTTGGTGGTGAGTAGTTAAGAGAAAAGTGAAGCAGAAAAAGGGGGATGATGATGAGTTGGGGGAGGGGGCTGTAATGTCAAATGGAGTAGTCGGTTATGAGCTCGTGGAGAAGGTGACATTTGAGCAAAGGCCTGAAGGAGCGAGTGAGCAAGTGGGCCATGTTGATGTCTAGAGGAAGAGCATCCCAGGGCGGGAACAGCAAGTGCAAAGGCCCTGAGATGGAAGTAGACGGACGTTTTCATGAGGACAGCCGTGTAGGTGAAGCAGAGAGTGGTGGGAAATGAAGTCAGGGAGGCTACAGACCATGTAGGGCTTTACTCGGAGTGAGACGGGAGGGCCTCTTTCTAGGGAGGGACTCCCTGGGCCCTGGACCCATATCCTGAGGAGGGGGTGCCAGTGGCTGGTAGTGGGGTCCCTGAGGGGCACAGTGCAGCTGATTCTGCGAGTGTTGCAAAATGGATTCAGCTGCTGCTGAAGTGCACTGCTGCCACCCAGGTGAAGGGTTGTTGCCTGGCCGCACAGGCAGGCGGGAAGGTACCAGAGAACTCACACGGAAAGAGTAAGCGCCGTCTTCCTCCGCCAGCCTTGTGGTCTCCCTCCAGCCCCCTACTGCAGTCTAACAGGGAGCCGCTGGCAAAGCAGAGACATGGTTTGTAGCGCCCCAGCCCCAGCATCACAGGGCAGGGTCTAGAAGGTGGGTTCGGGCTGAGAGATGACAGTTTGATGGCTGGCACGCCTGTTTGACTCATCGTAAAGCCCATGTTCACAAGGTGAGTGCTGGGCCACGTTGCTAAGGAGTGCAGACCTCGAAAGAGCTCTCTGACACCACGTCTGCGGTTTTTGTCCCCAACCAGGAGAACACTCCAGACTGAAAAGTTATTTAACTTCCATCCAACCCTTTCATCTTTGAAACCAGGTGACCAGTGGTAGACAGGAAAAGGAAACCACCTCCTGTGTGACCCAGCTTCCCTTTCCAGACTTATTCCCAAAGCTTCTCTGTGCATTTTAGTGCCCTGTTCTGCAGCTGGGGTCCCTCATCTGCTAACTGAAAGGGTGGAGGTTCGAGTCCACCCAGAGTTGCCTCGGAATAAAGGCCTGGCAACTACTTCTGGAAAATCGGCCATTGGAAACCCTATGGAGCACAGTTCTGCTCTGGTGCATGGAATTGCCATGAGTTGGAGTCACCTCAATGGCAGCTCGTTTGGGGTCCTGCAGCTGTGTGTACCTTGCCTTCCATGCCCCCCTACTCTGGTCACCTGTGCCTCTGCTAATACCACTCCCCTTGTCTGGAGTACTTTTTACCCCCTCCCCCTTAACACTCGACGATTCTCCAGATTCTCCCATTCTTTACGACTCAGCTCAAACATCACCTCCTCCATGAAGACTTTCCTCATCTTCTAAACTCAAGTAAAACAAAAAATTCCTTCCTTCTGAATACCTTTATCACTTCCTGTCTGTATCTCTCACTTTCTACCTCATACTTGTCCCCCTGCCGCTCCTTACTTAAATGTTGGCCTTCTCCAGCATTTCGTCCTCAGGCCTCTCTCTCACTGTCCGCACTCTCCCCAGGCGGTCTCACCGCACCACTTCCAGGCCGCACCTGCCACCTCTGTGTGCTTTGGTGGCTCTCATATGCCCATCTCCAGCCCAGCCTTCTCACCAGGCCTCCAGCATACTCACTACCATTTCCTGGACACCTCCATCTGGCAGTGCCACTGTCCCCTCAGCTCAATGTCCAAGAGCTTAGTCTCCTTTTCCTGAAACACTCCTCCCGCATGCTCCCTGTATTAGTGAATGTCAACACCATCATCTACTCAGCATCACAGCAAGAAGAAAATAAGTCTTCAATTCCTTGCCCTCAGTCCAGACCGTCACCAAGCTGGTGATCAGCCTCGTAAATCTCTTAGGTCAGCCTCCTTGCTTGCATTCCCAGGGTGCTCTCTTCATTCTGCCCTCAGTACCTCTAACCCGGCCTTTACAGGAGCCCACTACCTGCTTCCAGCCTCGCCTTCGTTCAGGCCACCCGACCTGTTACCAGAGGATCCTTCTGACTATTATGCAGGGAGCATATCACTCCTCTGCCCCATGTCCTTCAAGGCCCCGGTTGCCTATAGGATGAAGGCTCAGCCTGGCCACCTGGGCTCATGGTTGAGGCCCCTTTTTCACCTTGTTTTCCACCCCTGCCCTATGTCCCATATGCCCTGTTTCCATCCCCCATTCAGACTGTTTGCCTCTCACTGAACACCCCATGCCTATCCCTTCTCTGAGCATACTGGTCTTTGTGGCCAAAAAGCCCTTCCTGCCTTTGAGACCCAGTGGATTTGGGGTGGAATCCTAGCCTTGATGCCCATGAGCTGTGTGATGCAGGCAGGTCACCTCGCTCCTCCAGCCTCAGTTCCCTCTTGGAGAGCAGAGTACCTGCCTGCTGGGTCATCGTGAGGCAGTGCATGAAGATGCATTAGCAGTGTGCCTCGGATTTCTTTGTTCCTTTTTCATTGCTTCCCCATTCTGGCGAACTTTGTCCTCATCCAGCCTGATGTGGTCTGGCTCACCTCCTCGTGAACTCTCCCTCTTTCTTCCTCCTGGTCCAGAGTAGGCATTGCTTCTGTGACCTCACGTAGCGCCCTGGCATTTCTGATGCTGTGATATGTGTGGTCACAATCTGTCTTTCTGCTCAGGTGGGAGCAGGTGGGGTTCTGTCTCATTCAGCGTCTGCTGTTGATCATTTACATAAAAGGTCAGTGGTGAGAACTCACCCAGAGGCACCTCAGAAGACAGGCGTGGCTATCTGCCTTCTGAAAGTCAGCCTTGAAAACCCTGTGTCTACTCTGCACACATGGGATCGCCATGAGCCGGAATTGACTCGGCAGCAGCTAACAACAGTCACCGCTCCTAAACTAGCTGGCCGCTTCTCAAGGGCAGAGTGTCCTTCTGATTTGTATCTTTCAGCAGCTAGCTGAGTTCTGCATGTCCCCAAATATTTAATGAATGAGGGTATTACTAAAGTACTAATCTCAGAGCTCAGAAGGTAATGAATGGTGAGAAGCACATACAGAAACAGCAGAAGAAATCAGAAAATTCTCTTAATTGAGTTGTATGGCATATATAAAGCAGTTTTCTGATTTGTGGATTTGTTGGCAACCAGTTTCTGAATATCAATTCTCTTGAACAAAACTTGTTTCCCTCCATTTGTTTTCTCTAAGTTACCCCAAATGGCTCAACACTGGCCCCTTGTACACCATTTTCAGCTCATTGAAACACCCTAGCTCTAACCATTATATACAGTTGAATCTCTGAAATTTCTCTGTTGAGAAAAGCTAAGCAGATTTATTTTCTAGATTCTTATCAAATTGGATCTGTAATTTTCTGTAGCAAATACACTTTTTTCATTTTGAGTCTATTCCAGGCAGTAGGCTAAATTTAAAACCATGGTTGGCAGACTTTTATGCTCAGTATCATGGATAATTTCAACTGTTTCTCAACTGAGAAAATGTGAAAAATGATATATTTATGGAGTTTTACCTCTGTGGTTGCTTCAGCTAAAAGAACTGTGAAAAGTATATATAAGGAATGAGGACCCTCCTGGGAATAATTTGTACGTAGAATAATTATAACCATGTACATCCCCTTGTTCTGTTGTTACTTCCTCCTGAGGCCTGTCCCCACTGGGAGGAGGGCTTTTCCCTGGCTCTCTGATGAGCCACTGCAAACTTGGTTCTTCTAGGAAGCCCCCACCTCCCCGCCTTGCACTCCCACCCCCTCTCCGCTGGCATACCCGTAGAGCCCATGCTGCAGGAACCCAGCCCTGGGGAGAGTTGGGCTGTGGTTGGTTGGTTGTAGCAGGAGGAGCTATGTTCCTGTTCATCTCCGGTAAAACTTAGAACTCTGAGGCTTCTCCTTACAGACCAGTTAACCAGTCACCGTCAAGTGGACTCTGACTCTTGGTGACCCCGTCTGTATCAGAGTAGAACTGTGTTCTGTAGAGTTTTCCAATGGCTGGGTTTTTTGTTTTTTGTTTTTTAAGTATTACTAGGCCTTTCTTCCAAGGCATCTCTGGTAGACTGAACTTCCAGCCTTTTGGTTAGCAGCCAGCCACGTTGACTGTTTGCACTAGCCAGGGACTCTGAGCTCCTCGTAGAAACCCTTTATGAAAGGTGGTTTGATTCTGTCCTATTTTAGTATAAATACAATGGGTTAAATACCTTTACTGGTTGATCTGAGAGTCTAACCATCCTTTATAAAATGGATAAAATAGCATTTTCTGGCAGCTTGGTTTCTCTCTGTCTTACTCTTCAGATATCATAGGGGAAAATGTATGTAGCCCACAAGTAACTTATAACCTATCAGGTGGACTGTTTAAGAAGCAGCATTTGGATCAGTTTCAACTTAATTTGTCCTTCAATTCCAAATACCATAACAAGCTTTTTCCTCCCCCAGGCTGATTTTAATACCAACTCTTCTGGCACGGATGAACATGCACGTATGAGCCTAGAGGACATGGTGAACTTTTCTGACATATACCACTCTAATGCAGAGTATTTCAGGAAACTAGAAGAGCTGAAGGCTGCCCATGTGGAAACTATGGCAAAGTTAGAGAAAATGTACCAGAATAAATTAAATTTAAAGGGAGTTCAGCCAGTGATCATCAGAGAAAATGCTCCTAGTGTCTCCTCCAGGTAAGTTTGTACACAGTGTTATTTGTGGACTGTACAATAAAACATAGACACTTAAAAGTGCAGAACAGAAGTATTTCAGAATCTTTTCCCTCAGCTATCCCTTAGCACTCTTAATGATACAGAAGTAGGATTTTATTCAGAATGTTTGAGGGCTTATCAACCTACAAGGTGACGTCTTGTTTTGAGGGTCATTTGATTGCCACTTAGTCTTTTCTCTCTGACCCTCCACTTATACAACTATAAAAATGTATCAAAATATTTAGTCTGGGCCATTTTAAATAATGAATATTAAAGTTTAATATAAAAGCCCTTTTTAATATATGGATTAACATGAGCTCATTAAAGATATAGTACAAAGAGTTCAAGGCTATGAGACATAAATATGATTTACATTTTCAAACTAGTCTGTAATTTTCAGACCCATTTCTGCTCAGAATTTGCTTGCTTTGAAACTTGAGGCAAGTCATTTAACTCATCCAGTTGGTCAATGCTGATTGCGCATCTTCTGTGCAAACTAGAGATTCAGAAACGATGCCTTCAAGGAACTCAAAGACAAGCTGAGAACCAAAAATGGCAGTATGTCATGACTTGGCAGTGTTATGGAGACAGAGGAAGAAGCAGTTGATCATGCCAAGATGTTGGTGGAGGAAGGCTGGTAGGGAATTTTCCACAAAAGTGTTCAGTCTTGAAGGAGGAGTGCAGAAGATGCAGAAGGCAAGAAGTGGCCTAGGCAGCAGAAACCGTGTGTGCAGACATGGTGGCGTGAGAGACCGCGTGCGCAGAGATGGTGGCGTGAGAGACCGCGTGTGCAGACGTGGTGTGAGAGACCGCGTGTGCAGAGACATGGTGGCGTGAGAGACCGCGTGCGCAGAGATGGTGTGAGAGACCACGTGTGCAGAGATGGCGTGAGAGACCGCGTGCGCGGGGGCGTGGCGGCGTGAGAGGAGACGTGCGCGGGGGCGTGATGGCGTGAGAGCCCGCATGTGCGGGGGCGTGGCAGACCGCGTGTGCAGAGATGGCGTGAGAGACCGCGTGCGCGGGGGCGTGGCGGCGTGAGAGACCACGTGCGCGGGGGCGTGATGGCGTGAGAGCCCGCATGTGCGGGGGCGTGGCGGCGTGAGAGACCGCGTGTGCAGAGATGGCGTGAGAGACCGCGTGCGCGGGGGCGTGGCGGCGTGAGAGCCCATGGTGTGTGTGACGCACGTTGTGTGACTGGGTGTGACTTACGTAATGGTGCCTGAGGGTAGCGGTAAACTGGAAAAGTAGGCCGAGGCCAGTCTCAGGCTTTACGAACTAGGCTTGATTTTGTAGCAACAAAGAATCACTGAAAAGTTTCAAGTGGAGGAGTCACGTGATCAGATCTCTGTTTTAGGAAGGTGACTCTAGAAAACGGTGGGGAATTCAGCAGAGGTCAGACGCAAGGAGACTTTGTTGTCTCTGGTTCCTCTCCTGTAAAATGAGGGAGTCGAACTAGATGATTGACAGGCTCTCTCCTAGCTTCTAGTCTAAATAAAAGCAATAATTTCCGCGAGCCCTGTCCAGCTCCTGTCTTCTGATTGTACTCTGAACTTAGAAACTGTGTAACTGTCTTAATTTTTATTTTTGGTCAAGTGCAGTGGAAAGTGTAACGTTCTTCTTCTCCCTTAGATCTGTATCAGAAAAAGACTCGTACCCCCCTGTCTCTTTAATGTCATCGCTTTCGGAGCCCGATTTAGGCCGGTCTTCCTCCTTATATGCATCTTCCTCTGAGGATGAGATGTCCAACCTAGAAAAAGATTATCCCGGGAAAAGCAGGATGATGACCTATGCCAAGGAGCTCATCAACAACATGTGGAAAAACTTTTCTGTTGAGGATTATATTCAGTCTGATGATGCTGACTTCCCATCAATTGAAAAAAGAAGGAAGAAACCAAAAGAATGGGTGCCAAAGATTACAGTACCTGAGCCTTTTCAAATGATGATTAGAGAGCAAAAGAAAAGAGAAGAGAACATGAAATCCAAGTCAAACATTGAAATGGTACACAAACTATTGAAAAAGGAAGAAGAAGATGCAGAATGTCGGAAGAAATTCCAAGCCAGTCCTGTTCCTGCGTATGTCTTTCTTCCCCTTTATCATGAGATAGTCAAGCAAAATGAAGAGCGGAGGAGAGCCGCAAAGGAGAAGAGCAAAGAAGCTCTTTTGGCCTCACAAAAGCCATTTAAGTTTATTGCAAGGGAGGAACAGAAGCAAGCAGCCCGGAAAAAGCTAAGAGACTTTTTTAAGCCTAGAAAGAAAACAAATAGATTTAAAGCCAGGCCTATACCTCGATCTACTTATGGTCCAACGGCCAGTGACAGAGTCAAAGAAGAAGAGCTGATCAGAAGCATTAGGACGCAGCTGAGGGCCCAGAAGCTTCCACAGAATTCATCCCTTCAGCCGTCTAAGCCGGCTCACAGAAGCCTGGCTACAGGGAAACTCAAGTGTCCTGAAAAGGTGAAGTGTAAGTGCAAGGTCAAATGTCACACTCCTGGTGTTGAAAACCTTCCTGAGAAATGTCAGAAACACCTCGTAGAAGATAAGTGTTCAGAACTCTTAACAGCCTGTGAACCATTCGATCTTCATGCATCCTCATCCTCTAAAAGAGAGAAAATTTTGGCAGACATTAAAGCAGATGAAGAAAATTTAAAAGAAACACGTTGGCCTTATCTGTCTCCAAGGCACAAGTCACCAGTAAGAACTGCAAGTTCAAAGCCTGTGCCTTGTAACTGCAACCCTCCAAGGCCCACAGTGTCTTCCAGAGAAAGAGAACAAGCCATCAGGTAAAATAATTAGGAGACGGTGCTAATGACTCGTGGTTGCTGAAATAGCATACATAGTTCTGTTGATTTTATATGGTGAGTTTGAAACTATTCACAAATGATTATCTGGTAAGATATTATACTATATAATTTAAAACATTTTGCCAGATGGTGTTCTTCCAGGAAATGAATGTATTTTCCGTGTTTTGAATTTCTGGGGATAGAAAAGGTTATAGTCAGCCTGTTGCGATCCAGTTTCACAAGCCAGGTCCTTCTCAAAAGGTTTGCATTCTTTGCTTTTTTTCCACCTTTGAAGTATCCCGTGTTGAATCTTTGCTAAACAACATTCTCATTGGCTTAAAGTGAATTAAGCCTTAGTTTGTTGCCCTCAGGAGATCACTTGAGGAAAAGAAAATGTTGGAACAAGAGAGAAATCGGCTCCTAACTAAGCAGAAGCAAAGATTGAAAGACTTGCAGAAACTACTGACAACCCGGGCTAAGGCTTATGACTCGCATGAAAGTTTAGCTCAGATGTCTAAATGCAGAATAAAATCTCTCAGGTATCATGAACCCTGAACCTCCAGATCATTGGTTTTCAAACTTTTTCTTTTTTTCAATCAGTGGATAGCGGTATATAAACAGATTAAGAAGGGTATTAGTATTTTATTGATTCAAATTACAGGATTGAGAAAAATCTTGATTTAGAGATAAAGTTTGTTTTTGTTTTTTTTTTTAAACAGCTTGCCATATTATCTCAGAGTACTCTACTCTTCAATAAACGTATCTGTCAGAGAGCTTTGTTCCAAAGTTTGCGTGAAATCTGGTGGCACAAATTAACAGACTGGTGTGTGCAGTCTGTTAATGTTAGTGTGTATGTTTTGCAATTTGTTACAGTTTTAATATTAACAAAATAAAAATATTTTGCATAGCCTCTAAAACCCCTTCACAGAACACTAGAATTCTGCAGTTTGAAAACCAGTGCTCCAGAGGAACGTTTTTATGTACAGCATAAAAATGTTCATGTTTCAGTAGAAAAATATCCCTTAAATCTGAGTAATATGATTTATTACCTTTTAATAATCTGGTTTATCTGTGTGTATATATAATATACATATAACAATAAATATGTACATGTATATGTATGTTTGCTTTTAATTACAATCCGCATTCGTTTGTAATGAAGCATTAATCGATTGATAGAGGGAGCTTAATTTGATGAGCTTGAGTAAAAAATTTCTTAGACATAAAGGAAGTAAACTGGCTTTTTCATAATACCAACCTGTGTATAATTAAGCATAATTTTTATGGTATAATTGTGTTCTCCAGTCCATGTAATCTTTTTATCTTGCTAGAGTTAGTGTCTCTTACATAGAGAAAATAGCATAGTTTAGTTCATTATAGGACTGTGTCCTAAGAGTAAATAACATTTAGGTGAGTTCATGTGTTTTGGTTCCTGTTCTCTGTATATCACATTCCTATGCTCTTCACTTCTCCTCAGACCTGAACCTGTTTAATTAACTTTGCCACCAACTTACAGGAGATCCTATTGGGGGAGGGGGGGGGGATAAGAACAGGTCTTGTTTTCAGAAGAAATTAGTTAGAAAGTATCTAATTTGACCCAAATTTTCTTAGTTTTATACACTGACAGCTTATAAATGAGGTAAGAAAGCATTCATTCATCTCTTCATGCTTTAAAGATTTCAGAAACCGCAGAGAACCTAGGCTAGTCCCAGAGGGTAAACTGTGTGTTCCCAAAACCTAGGATTTTTATTCTCCTTTTCATGAACATTTACCAACCTGGAAAAGGAATTGTGGCCAATTGTGAACTGTGCTCATAAATTCATTTCTGATTTGTTATCCAGGCTAAGTGTTGTGTGTATAAGTTCTTATTTCTTAGATGACCTTTTAAAATTTCATTCCTTTTATTTAATTTTAGAAGGAGTGAAAAGGAAAGGATGAGAGAATACCGACAAGAACTAGAAGAAAGAGAAGAAAAACTAAAAAAGAGGCCTCTACTGTTTGAAAGAGTTGCTCAGGTTGTGTTTGTAGGAATTTAAGCGCTATTGTTGGCTTTTTTTCTTAACATCTTCAGCTCCTAATTTTACAGTCCATTCTTCTTGTGTTACATAATTTAGTTAGACATGTCATTGTTTCTGTGACACCTTCATCAAATCAGCCAAGTAAGTAATTTTGCTCAAAATCTGAGCGTTGAATCTTGTTGATGAGGCATATGTAGACGTGATAAAGAGCGCGCTGTTATTCCGATGGTTCTCAGAGTAATAGACTCAACCGGTGTTTAATGGCTGGTCTTCTTTCAGCATCAGCTTGGCCAAGTATTAAGGTGAGGCTTCATGATATGATGTGGAGGTCTTTGAAGAATTAAAAAATGAAACAAAATGGCTAATTGAATCAGATTTATTTCTGCCAGTGTTTTTTTTTTTTTTTTTAAGTGAGTCTATAATTTTCTTTCTTCTCTACATTTACAAAAAAGGACTTCCTTTTTATAGGAAAAGCAAACTAGTCTTACGGACAGTGGACCCTGATTTTACTAAATTTACACTCAGTTTTATCATCTTTCTCTTAAGGGAGATTTGTCAGTTTCAGGTCATTTCCTTTGTCTGCCTAAGAGCAGAGTTTGTGTGGGTGACATACCTTAACGATAGACAGAATCCCTGGAGGTTACAGGTGCTGTGTTATGAACTTCAAGCCGTCACAGTTGGACAGTAGACAGGTGGAGCCTCCTGCCAGCACTTGCGAGGGACAGGTGCGCGTGGCCCAGGACTGTCTGGGTCTGGTCCAGAGAATGATGAGCATGCCCTGTGGGGGAATCTACACATGACAGCCTCTCCCAGTTACAGAAGCCCTTTGCTTATTGATTTGAATATAGTTTTATGTACTCGTGCATTTCATATTAGGGGATGGATTTTTTTTAACATCTTAGTTTCAACTTTGGGGGAAAAAATCATTAGAAGCTATTTTATATTGTACAGCATAAAGTGATTTACTTTTGGCCCAAAGGAGTTATCTCCAGTGCTGAACTGTGGGTGTTTATGTCCGCTTGTCTGCGAGTCGTGCCTACCAGGTGTCCCATAAGCATCTCACGTTCATCTTGCCCCCACTAGACCCTCCGCCATGATTTCTTGTCAGGGGCACAGTGTCGATGGCTGGGAGCCACTTTTTCTTCCCCATTTGCTTGGTCACCAGGAGATCTGGCAAGTTTCCAACCTCAGTGATTTTTAGGTCTACGCGTCGCCACCCCTGATGTGGGCGTGTCAGCTGACACCTCTGTTATTTCCTGTCCGAATTATTACGGTAGTTTAGCTGGTCATCCTGCCTTGCTCTCTGCAGAGCTGCCCGTTGTATCTTCACCTTGCCATTCCCATGTCCTTGCCGGAATTTTAACTCTAGGTAGTTAACCCTAGATATTCATTAGGACTCCCTCAATGGTGCAAATGGTTAAGTGCTTGGCTGCCAACCAAAAGGTTGGCGGTTTGAACCCACCCAGAGATGCCTCAAGAAAGACTTTGTGATCTGCTTCCAAAAGATCACAGCATTGAAAACCCTATGGAGCACAGTTCTACTCTGACACACGTGAGGTCACCGTGAGTCGAAATAGACCCTATGGCAACCAGTATTTTTTTTTGAGCCAGTTAGTAACCCCTGACAACAGTGGCAATCCTCCGTTCTCACTGATCCCATTTGTTCTCATTTTCAATGAGTGGTGTCAGGAGGTCTCGTCACTGACTTCTCTGTATTACAGACGGAGTAACTGAAGTTTAGAAAAGGTAAGTAACTCATAAGGTTTTATAGTTAGTGAATGGCGGGACTATGATTAGAATCCAAATCAGTCTGCTTCCAAAGCCCATGCAACTGAACTCTGAGCTGTCCTGCTTCCTGCCGTAAGATAAATTCACGAGTCTTAGCGTGGTATAGAGATTTCTGTTAACCTCTTTAATCTCTCCCACTGCACTCTTTTCTGCTCCCCCAACTATGTACACGCATGCCCTTACACACATCCTTTACTTTCAGGTCACACCAAGTACAGTTTTAAAGTTTTCATTCCTGCTGCTTTCTGAACCCTGAACACCCTTAGGGCCTCTTCCTGTCTTCACCTAACTCCTGCTCCTCCTTCAAGCCTTGCTGTAAAATCACTCCCTGCGCTGTTTCCTCGTGCAGGGCTGAGTGCTTTTCTTTCCTCTCTGTTCTGTTTGTGCCGTACGCCTCTGTCTTTGCTCCTCCCATTGCATGTATGGCAGTTATCTGTTTAACGGTTTCTCTTCCCTTCTAGCTAAGTAATTTTAGAGGTGGAAGTCAGACTTTTGTATTCCTATCACCTAAGACAGGTCTGGTACAGGACAGGTGTTAGTAGGCATTGCTGAACCCAGACTGAATAGCTGTGATCAGATTAGCCAGATAATGGCCTCACATTTGCTTTCTGGGCTTAGCCCTGGCTGAGAGCACTACCCTGATGTCTTAGTGATGAGTCAGCCCTAGTTGAGGGTTGGGGGTGGGGGGTCATGCTGTAGTAAATTCCCACCGTTTCTAAGCACCAGAGAAAATGTGGCAAAATAAATGGTGTGTGTGAAATTAAACTCATAAAGATATTTTAAATGTTGAAAACAGGTTAGTTTCATACCTGATATTTGTTTTCCTACTTTGTGGTCACACATACGGAGATTCCTTTGCCCAGAACACTCTTCTCTCCCCACGTGCCCCTCAGCCACGAGGGCATGTCACAGAAGAAGTGTTCAGTAATCATTTATTCAGTAAATTAAAGAATTACTATAAACAAAACTTCTGGTTATAAAAGGTCAGTATTTTCTCTCTACAAGTTAGGTCCCTGATTGTAGACAGACTTTCATCTTTACCTGTTACTTAGTTTCTGGAAGAAACAATACAGCTTTTTTTTTTCCCTGCAGAAGTTTGTTACAGAATAAAATAATCATACGGTGATTTGAATCGTTCTTCTGTCTCCTAGTCCTTCCAGTCCTCTGGCCTGATGAGATGCCGCGGGAGATGTCTGTTCCAGTTAGGGACAGGGACACACTGTCCCCCGCCATGGGGAGTAGTAATTCTGTGTGCAGTGGTCATGGCAGGGAATCCCCATTGCTTTGGTTTTGTGAACATAAACCAGTATGTTTGTCTTGCAGTCTATTTTGCTGCGACTGTTGCTGCTAATTATCAGCTGTTATTTAGTAAATTCACTTGCATCTTTATGCATTAGCCATTTATAATTTAATTTTTGTCTTACTGCTGTTGAGTTATCCCCTAGCAGAATATACCTGTGATCCATTACAGAACAAACCATATTTTCCTGTCTCTTGGACATAACAGGCTTTATTACCTGTTTCAGTGGCTGCAACGATAGGCTTAAACGTAGTAAGATTGTGAGGATGGTGCAGGACCGGGCAGTGTTTCGTTCTGTTGTACATATTGTCCCTGTGAGTTGGAGCCAAGTCGGCCCCTACGACAGCAACAGAGGACATTACCTGACTAGGTGTTAAATTGAATTTTAAATGAAATTCAGATGAAGGCTTTCTAGCACTAACTTTTATTGGGGTCATTTTAATCTTCACTCTTTTATGCTTAATTTGCTTAAATCAGAATATGCTATTGCTAGTGCATTCAGAGTTAGCTTTGGGGTTCCTTGATTCTGCTCTGCAGCCTGTGGGGCACAGCCCCCGTCTTACTTGCTCGGCCTTTCAGGCCCTTAAGCCTCCTTTGCTGGTGTTCACAGGCTCTGGACGCATGTTTACTTTACTTCTCTAAACATCGTTACTCACGGGGAGTGCATGTTAACAGCAGTTTGCTGCTGTTTGAGGTTTAAGTATCAGGAGATTACTGGGTGATCGTTTTGTCTATTGTCATCAGCCTTCGCTGTTTTGGTTTCTGCTGTGGAATGCTGACTCTGTGGTCCTTCCTTATGCTGGAGTCCCTGGTTAGGCAAATACCTGACGATGCATTGCTCAGCTCAGGCTTCGGGCTGCCATCACCCCAGGATGACCAGCGCTACCACGGCGCAGTGGAATAGGTTCAGGGCAGAGCTGAGAGACTTGGTTCTGCCTTTGAGCAGCCTCATGACCTTGGGCAAACCACTTAACCTTGGGGGTCTTGGTTTCCTCATTTGTTAAATTCGGGGGTTAGACTGGATACTCTCTCACGCCCTTTCCAGAACAGGATGCTGGGCCGTTCCTGGTCACCTTGCTTAGCTGGAGGTCCAGAGAACAATTCCTGGCCCTATACGAGTTCAGATCTACTCCTAGGAGCTGAAAGTGGCCTCGTGCTGAGCCGCTAGTGTGGACCCCGGTCAGCTGGTGGTTCCATAAAGCCTGTGCTCTCAGGAACTATGATGACTTCCCACTCCCTCCAAGTGTAGGAGGGTCGTCGCTCCTCCCCACAGGTCCCAGAGCCAGGAAGTGACATTCCAGAGATGAACCCAGTGCTTCCTCCACAGAGTAAAGATAAGGACACTGATGGTTTTCTCATCTTTGATAGATTGGGGATACGGCTCATAAAGAGTAAACATCACAGTAGGTACATGAGAGAACCTGTGACAGCTATCACATGAACTTATTTTCTTCTTTTTCATATATCTTCATACAGTCATAAAAATGGATAAAACATAGGAACAGTTTAAAGAATAATTCTAGATCAAATGCCCATGTGGCCAGCACTCTGGAGAGCCCATGTGCCCTGGATCACAGTCCTTCCCCTCTGCCCTGGAGGTTACCGCTCTTGTCACGTTTCAGATAACTGTTCCCTTGTTTTTCTTTGCAGTTTTACCACCTAAGCACGTATCCCCAAACAAGCTAGTTTTGTTTTGCCTGTTTTTGAACTTTATGTAAATGAACCGTATTATAGGTGTACTCCTGTGCTGCTTTTGTTCTGTGTCGTATTTGTGAGATCCATCCATGCTGTGGTGTATAGCTATAGTTCATTGCTCTATTTTACTCTCTTGTGTGAATAGGCCACAATTTATCCACCCTACGGTCGATGGATATTTGGGTTGTTTCCAGTGTGGGACTGTTACAAGCAGTACCAGCATGAACATTCTTGTACTTGTCTCTTGGAGCACATGTTCAGGAGTTTCTCTGGGTATATATCTGGGAGCAGAATTGCCGGTCGTAGGGTGTACAGATTTTTAACCAACTGTGATTATTGAACTTAATTTTCGCTGGAGTTTTAAGCCCATAAATCTTATGGAAATTTAAAAATCTTTTGTTCTCATCTAAAAAGGTTTGTCTTTCCTATAGAAAAATGCAAGAATGGCAGCAGAAAAGCATTATTCTAACACCCTAAAAGCACTAGGAATATGTGATGAGTTTGTTTCAAAGAAAGGCCAGAGTGGAAACATACTTGAGTACTTCAGCGATCAAGAGATGAAGAGGTTCGCTGAAGATAAAGAAAGGTAACATACATAAGGTGTCTGAACGGCTTGCCTTTGAAAAAATGCTTACCTGCAAGAAAGCACACAGTTCTGTTCTGTACTGTTTTAAAAAGGTCTTTTACCTAATTGAATACATGGGAGCTGTTGTAAAACGTACTGGTATTTTAACATGTTTGACACATTCAGAATATTACACAGCAAAACAACTTAGATTTCTGACTTCTATAAATAATGACAATAACATGCTTTCAAAATGAAGTTTCAAGAGTCAGTCAAGTTTTGAAATAAAATAGTTCTCAGGAATATTCGATTTCCCAGCTGGGTCATTTGTAGAGGTTTTTTGTTTTTTAAACAACGAACGGAATTCATACACTTAAGGAGCATTGACTGCATGATGGCATACATCGCAAAGGGTTTGTTTACCTTTAAACCAAATCATTTTTCCTTTGAAAGATTGATAAATTTCTTCCTCTAGCTTTAATGAAGAAAAAATAGAAGAAAGAGAGAATGGGGAAGAAAATTATTGTATTGATGCCAACAGCCAGGATTCTTGCCAGGAAAAAGATGAAATCAATGAAGAAAGTGGGGAAGAGACTTCTGTTGAAGAATAAAACTGAATCATCAAGGCCTCCTCTCTCAGGCCCTGGCTGTCGTCGTTGATGGCGTCATCTGTCAGCAGTGCACTGTGGTGTGAACGCTTCTGTGGAGATGCTCGGGTGCGTGCAGGGCTGCTGAGTGAAGTCATCTGTAGCCTGAAGAGGCTCACTTCATGGGACCGGTGATTTGGTCAGAGTGAGGCTTGCCTGTTCATTTTTTCTAATCGTTAACGTATGGTCCGTTTGCAACTTTGATCTTTCGTATATTTTTTTAAAAATATTTGAGAATCACAGCTGTCACACACAGATTAGTTATAAAAATATATAGTATTATTTTTGGTAGAAATAAATTGCTTAGTATTCAGAGCAGAGAGTAATGGCGTTTGGTGATTTGTTTGAAAAGATTTTTCCGGAAAGCATGAATCAATAAAGATTTTTTAAACTATACTACTCGCCCACTCTTTTTCTCTGAAATGCATCTCACATAGTGAGTTCTCAAACTTGTTTTCCTAGGTTTTTAAAAGGTTCTTATCTGAACCATTAAAAAATAAGTAATAAAATGGAGTGAAAATAAGATAAATTTACATTTATTTCTGCACTAAGCATGTACTCTTAAAATGTCCATGCCGTCATCACTTTTTCTTTTTATCCCTAGTTTTAGTCCAGGTTATTTTTGATGTATAAATAATTACAAAAGTTTTTATACTGGTATCTTTTAACCCTGTATATTATGACCGATGGAAATAATTGCGGCATCTGTGAGTTATAAGCTTAGACACAAATATCAACCCCGTTTTAAAGATGATGAAATTGTTCAAGTCTCTAATTCAGATTTAGCTCTTTAACACTGGACCCAGTTGTGTACAGCTTTTTACATATTATTGCAAACATTTTTTGTCTCACTGTGCATGATGTTTTATGGATTTTATGGATCTACCATTTTTCCTCTCTCAGCAAATTTTTGCTTTAAAAATTCAAGCCAATCATAAAGATGTGATATGGTAAGATGTTTCATTTTCCGAAAACAACCAGCATCCTTTAGCGAGAATGAACTAATACAGGTGTATTAATAGCAGTTTTTCCCAACTGGCAGTTCACAGATACACTTTAAATTAAGAAATAAGGTGATTTTTCTCATTCGGGGCAAATGTTACTTACAGTTCCTTTTCTACAGTTTGTGGTAAGCCACATGGCACTCTCATTAGATTGTAAACTCCTTGAGAGTTGGCTCCATTTTAACATTGATCTTTGTATTCCCTTAATATTTCATACAGGATTGTGCATATGGTAGGTACTTAATAAAGGTTTGAATGAGTGAGTAGATGAATATGGTTTTTAATTGTACTTAAAATTACTTCAAAATGAGTTCACATGAGATTAAAAACATTTCTCTTCCAACTTACTGAGAACAATAGCTCGGTTACATGTTAGAACAAAAGCATGTGGAACACCATGCACACGTAGTAGTAGTTAAAGCGTGCCTTGCTTCCAAGGGTTCACTGCACACTCTCCCTTCTTCGTCTCGTGGGGACCGTGTGGGCTTTGGTTACTCAAGACTGGACTCCAGGACCTATTTTCGTTCTTTTTTTTTTTTTTTAAT